GATTGTTTCGGGAGGGGGGGTTCCACACAGTCTTACGTATGCATGCACGTCTGTCTGGTAGCGTCGTCGAGCTAAGAGACCTAAAGGTGAAAAAGCGCACTCGTTTTCTCTTGTGTTTTCCGCGCACCGCGGGAGACCGCGGTCCGCGCGCGCCACGCGCAGTCCCGTGCGTGCCCAGTGTCTCGTGCGCGATATAAATAAATAAATAAAAACGGACACCTCTACTGCGAGCCTGTCAGGGCGCCTCTGTAGCGCTGTACCTGAGATACATGTACATGCAGAGGAGTGTGCCAAGTGTGCGCGCCAGATCCACAGGACTCGGACCAGGGTCCCGACAACCAAGTGAGAAGTGTCCCGACTTGAACTTCTCCCGTGTCCAGCAGTCTTAGGCTATAGGCACTTGCCGAGCACCTAATACTTTTCCTCGCCAAAGAAGTGGCGGACCGGTCGACCCGGAAAAGGTATATGGGGCGGCGTTGGCGAGCGCCTCCTCCTTTGTCATGCGAAGTGCCTCTGTCTGCCTTCTGCGCCTGCGCATCTCCCCGCCCTCTCGAGCCCGGCCGCCCTCTGTCCCTTCCCTTGTTTTCGGAGACGCGCGTCACTGCGACGACGAGGCGGCGGCGCAAAGGCGCATACGCACGAATGTCCCACGGCGGCGCATGCGCACGAATGCGTCGTCCTGCGTGCGCATGCCCTTCACGAAGGGGCTCGACTGTGACCTTCTTCCCCGTCACCGTCCCGCGCGCGCGCTCGCGCGTGCAACGCGCCTGTTCCTCAGCGAAGCCCGCCGGGAGGGAGCATTCGACGCACCGCTCGGCGGACACTTCCCCGGCATGCCAGGCGCCAACCTTCGCAACGGCAGCCTGCTCCGACGGCGCGGTCAGTGCGGCAACTTCGATGAGGTTTGGATGGCGATAGGCCGTCCCTCCTATTGCGACCTCTTGGCAAAGGTGGCGCTGCTGCGCGAGAGCAGCAGGGAAACGGCAAGACGATTGCGTGGGTGCGCACACCTCCCCCTGGCGTTGTGTGACGGGAACGTACCACTCTCCCGCGCCGATGTGTTGCAGCCCATCCTGTCACACACCAACACGTCGGTAGCCCACCCCGCGCCGGCGCTGCTGTACAGGACCACTGCCCTCCCAAAGTGGGGATGCGCGACCATTGGCAAGGGTGTCGCGACTACGTGCCGGCAGCCGAGCACATCAGGCACCCCATCCAGGGAGCACACTTTGGGCCGACGCCGCGCCACAACATGTCGTACCGCGAGGCAAAGCTGGGGGTCCGCAGCGCCACTCTCGCCGGCCTGCGACGCACGCGGTCTGAATGTCTCTCCGCGAGGGGATGGCTGAATGATCGCGTTTTGGGTAATTCGCTTTCAGGTCACAGGATATCACAGTCTTTTGTGTATTTGTGTGCGTGAGCGGAGTGGCACAAGGCGACAAGCGCAAGTGGAGCAATGACGGCAATAATGAAGGCCGAATGCCGGATAGTATGCGGTCTCCCTGCAGAGCAGTCGATACCCGTCACGAGTAGAAATCATAATTTCGCACATGAGATATGTGACAGAAAGAAAGAAAACAGCCAGGCCACGGGGATTTTAAGGAGAGGAGGGTTGTGGTGCTAGCCGTCGCCCACCCTAACCCTTGGGCGTCTGCCTCCCTCTCAGTGTATGTAGCTCTTAGGTACAATTCCCGGAGGAGGATTTCTATCTCTCTTCGCAGTCCCTCCCTCGCCGATTCTCGCTGCAACCTTCATGCCACCTCGCGGTCGTGTGACAGCACCCGCGGCTTTTTTCTTTGAGCTTAGCCTTCGATGTTAGGGAACGCACGGGTTTTCTTTTGTACCTGTGTTAGTGCCAGTGCGCGCCAGTCCCGTGCCCAGTTTTGCGGCCGCAAATTCTTTTGTTTAGCAAGTCGTAAAGTCTAAAAACGCCGTCCGAGGGTGAGCGGCGTTCGTGCCCGGGGCGATGACGCTCTCACGCTCGCAGCTGGAGCAAATCAGAGCCGATGCAGGCGCCGACGCAGTTCCCATCGATTTCGCCAAGATGGCATCGTGGAGCGAAGTCGAGGCGGCCGCATTCTTTGAGAGCGGCGGCGACGACCACGGCCCGCCGCCAGCGCTCCAGATGGTCATGGACGACCTCGCGATGCGATTCGTTGTCAATTGTCCCGCAGAGGAGCAGGTGAAGCGCGCGCGCAGCCACGGGCTCTGGGTCGCGTGCCAACGTGACGCCTTGATGCGCGCGCACAGGAGTCGTTTGAGCGGCTTCTCTTCCAGGTGGAGGCCGCCTTCTGGTTCTACGACGACGAGTACCGCGAGATCTGGCCGCACTCCTTCCCGTGCTTCACCCTCCTCCAGTTTGCGCAGAAGCTCTTCGAGATGTGTGAGCTCCTCAAGCCCTTCGCGGCGCGGACCAGCGAGCTGTACGAAAAGTTCCGGCAGTACAAGATCCAGATCCCGACCTGCGGCGCCATGCTGCTCGACCAGAGCCAGACCAAGGTTGCGCGACCCCGCGCCCGTATCGCTGCACGTGCCGCGCCGCGCTCGGCCCCGCACCC